TTTGTATATAGTAACCTTAGATCTGAAGTTTACAATAAATCCTAATAGTGTATGTATGTTTCCACATATAAAATCAGATCACATTTTTCTGTCACAAAATAAATGTTTATATACCAATGACACGAAGCATGATTAATATTTGTTCAGATAATGAAGGTGTTCCCCAATAATTCAATTTGTTGAAACATATTGCTTGGATTTGAAGATATAAAATTAATATGATAAGCAAATATCATTTGAAAAATAGAAAACAAATACTAAAAATAAAAAAATAACACAAAAAAATGTAAAATATGTGTTTAACTTATCATTCCAAAGTTTCTAAAAATATTTTCAATTTGATAAAAAGAACAGGGGTGGACGTAACATTAAAACCTGAGAATAAACTATACAATAAATTCTATATACAAAGAGATAAAGTACAAATTTTGAAAGAAAAAAAAGAATGATTTTTAAAGCATGTGGTATGGCATTGTCCTAATTTTTTATATTGATTTTAGCATGAGTAGCTTTTTTGTGTAAAAGTACAAATAAAGTTGTGAAAATTAACAAGATGACATCTTATTATTGTTTATATCAACCACAGAATTCAGTTGAAAGCATAATACACTGGAATATGTTAATTAAATTTTGATAAACATTTATTGAATGGTTTCTGTCAAAAGTAAGTAAGAATAAGATGAAATATTGTAATGTTTCAGAAGTGTAACGAGCAATGCTGAAATTTGTTTCGGTTAAAAGTAATTAAGAATAAAATAGAATATTGTAATGTTTTAAAAGTGTAATAAGTTGATTTTTGTTTCTGTCAAAGTAATTAGAAATAAGATGAAATAATGTAATGTTTTAGAAGTATAACAAGTAAAGCTGAATATCTTTTTGTCAAAAGTAAGTAAAAATAAAATATGTAATGTTTTAGAAGTATAATAGGCAAAGTGTAAATATTTTTGTTAAATTAAGTAAGAAGAAAATGAAATATTGATACTTTTTTAAAACCTGTAACAAGCAAAGCAAATCATCTCAAACTTTTGTAAAAACAAATTAGTCAATATCCTGTAAAAGATCCTTTCTTTCATCTTCATTTTAAAAACATATTTTCCCTAAAATAATGACTGAATACAATATAATTTTTTTATTGATAACAGTACACCCAAAATAACTTACCCTTCTTTGCTTCTTTAAGTTGCACACACGTTCAATATATGGAGGTACAGTAAACTGTTTTTCATAGCCAGGTTGTAATACACTCTTCTTCAATAGCTTTGCACGAAAAAAAATTAAAAAGTTTCAGTCCAAAATACTTTAAACAAATTAGTTATTTTAAATGGATATACACAAGTTCCATCTTGCTTGCCACATGCATAATGAATAAATTAACACTTAAGTTATTTTTTACAAAAACTAAACAATCAACATGCTTGATGAAAGACAGTAATTCATTTACTTTCTAGCACTTGTATATTAGAGATTAAGTTGATAACTGGTAGTTCTATTACAGTCTAAAAAAAGTGAGATTGAAATATTCAGAAACAAATATAACTATCTTCATTTTGCCCTCAAACTTAAAAAAAGCATACTTTAGGAATTTCTCTAAATCTTATAACTACAACCCTTTTGTTGTTTGTCATTAAGCACAAAGCTATGCAAAAGGCTATCTGTACTCTGCCCACCACAGTTATTGAAACCCGGTTTCTACTAGAGGTACAAGTCTGCAGACATACTGCTGTGCCACTGGGGGGGGGGGGCTGATAATCTTGTAAAGTCTTTCCTACAAAACATTATAAAGTCTCAAAGTTTACAACAAACACTAAAAAGATGAATAAAAGTATCTGTGCATTTATAACTTACTTTGTGAAGTGAAAACTAAGACTAACTCTTGATTATACCCAAAATTTCTGCTAGCCAAGAAGGTACATTAACCAAATGAGCTACCATGTGTGAATTGATGCAAGACCCAGGACAGCAGGAAGTGTGTATTTTTATAACTTCATTTGTAATTATTTTGATTCTATAAGTTGAATTTGTGACTGTCAGTTTATGAGTTACAAGTTTACTAAAAGATATTTCATATATTTATTGTGTGCAAAAAAAAAAAGTTTTCCTTCTGTTCCAACTACAATTGACACCCACAAAAGATGTTAAAAGTAATTACTGATGAAAGCTGACATAAAATCACTTACATAAATGATAATAAAGAATAAACTGACACATCAGAGCCTAATTCCATTATAACACAGTCTTTACTGCTTAATGAAGGGAAACATAACAGAAAATAAACTAGAAAAAGTTTTCATTTAGACATGTCAATATATTCTTTGTTATCATTTATCCAAGTTTTTCTTCTCATGTCTTGCGGAACAACACTCATTCATAAAATCACCTACACACATCATCATCACCTATATGATAATGGAAGAAATTCAGTTTCTTAACAAGACAATATTTGTTTCACGTATTTCACATCTCTAAGCATTATATCTAATTTATGGTTCTGTCATTTCAAAATATTTTGCATTCACTTTTTTCTCAAAATACAAATAAAATTGAAGAAACGAATAATATCTAAATCTAATGAGAGAGAGGCATATTAGTTCTTATAGTTTTTGAAAATCAAGCATTTTAAACAAACAAGTTAAATTTATAATCAATACAAAACTATTATATTTACTTACATATCATCATACTTAAAATAAATATTTATCTGTTCAAATTATTTAAGAAAGCAATCAAAAGCACCAACTGCTTTCATAGGATTGGTTGTCACAATTTTAAAACCTACATACTGCCATGCAGAGCATGCTTGGTAGTATAATGTAGTTTGAACCTCAGACCTTCCGACCAATAACTCAGTATGCTGACCCCAAGACAATGCCCCACCCAGAATATTTAGAAAACATACTAAATTGATATTTCCGATTGATTACATAATTGACATGGACAGAAATAGTGTCTATTTGGTGGAATTAAATGTTTTATACAAGTTTCCAAAGTTAACATTTTCCCAAATTGAAAATGTATTTCCAATAGATACCTCTTCTCACAAAATAGATTTTATCAATTAGCACTGCCATCTTTCGGTGCAAATTTTCAATTCTTGCCACTAACCTACCAACTCCTGCTTCTGCATATCCATATGTAAATTATTATGCAGCAGTTCTCCACCAATAGAAGCATGATAAAACCCCTATTGTAACCAGTACCCTCTCCCCCATTTGCACTTGTTAATCACTTAAACTGCAATATAGATATAGATATATATATACATATAGTCATGACATGGCAGAGTGCTTCAACCAAAACCTAGAGGTATATGGAATTGTACCTCATGTCTGCAGTTGGAAGGGTTTCAATCCATCAACACATGATTCTAATCGTGACTGGGCCATCTCCAACCAACACCAGACCCACTGAGAATAGGATGGTGGGAAGGAGGAATGCCACAGTGAGCAAAAGCAATTTGTATGATATAGATATATTAATAAGGCATAGTGTTACAACCAAAACCTGGCAGTATCTGGAACTGTACAACAGGTTCGCAGTAGCAAGTACTATATGCCATCGGCATCCACAGAATGTCACCACCCTTCTCTCAACTGAGTGGTATGATACATCTCTCACAAGGACAGACCTCCATGGTCCACCACCCCAGTGGCTAAGAACTAGTAAGTGGCAAGGACTCCCATATTCTGTTAGAAGAAAGGAGAGAAAAACATGATGGAGAGTCTGGAGGAACATACCAATGGAAAGAGTGCAACGGGTAACTTCAATACCCTATTTTGAAAAGCAAAGTCCCACATCAACGAAATCAATCAACCAACACCCAGCAACATCTGTAATTGTACGTGAGGTCCATGGTAGGAAGAGTCTCCATGCCACTAAGCATCAGAGATAGGCAGCAATCCCTATCTACTTTACTCATGTATGTACACGAGTGTACAGTCTGGAACGAACATGTTTACTAAGCAAAAGACCATTAGAGAGAACTACTAGATGTCTCATCTCTACAGTGTGTGTGACTTAATTCTGCAATGTAATCATTTCACTGTACATTCCAACTGAATGGAGCTACCCAACCAATACACTAACAAGAAGGCCTCTGTGAATAAAGAAATAACAAAAACAGTAAAGTAAAACTAAGTCTGTAGTGTAAAGTAAAACAATGATAAGTTTGCAAGCAAAAACAAGCATGTCTTTACAGTACTACTGCCAATCGAGAAGTGATTAAGGAGTGCAAATGTGGATATTTATATGTGGATATGCAGAAGCGAGAGGTGGAAGGCTAGTGGCCAGCACTGAAAAATGTGTGCCAATAGAGGGCAGCACTAATCATGAAAAGCTATTTTGTGAGTGGAGGTAACATACTGCATTGGAAATTAGACTTTTCTTTTTCCTCTGTCTTCCATTACCTTACAAACACATTTCTTAGATATACCTAAGTTTGTTTTTACATATTTTAGGTACTGTAAAAAAGTTTAAAACCCCTTTTCTAAAAAAATTCTCCACACTATATTTACTTAAAATTAAGGTCTTTAATGAAATTTAAGAGTAGGGTTAAATTCAAATATTTGTTTTAATTTACAAATACTCAGTTTTTGTATTTGCCAAAAAACAACATCCACAAATTATGTTATGTCCCTATCAATATCTTTAATACAAGTAAGAAAAAGCAAAGGCCTAAACATTGGCCCTAAAGCATACCACTAGTAACAAAGATACAGTTTAATGGACTCCAAAAATAACTTCTTTCTCTCTCACTTAGTAGACCACCCTACAACTCAATTAACTTGTCTTTTCCAACTCCTATCAATATGGTTGTCTTAGTTAGTCTTCAGAAACATCTTATCAAAATCTTTTTAAAAATATACTTAAACTAAGTCCACACCCATGCTATCATCCAGATAACATGCAACATCTTTGAGAAAAGTTAACAGCTTAGTAAAGGAAGATTTTTCTTTAAATAATCCATGTTGATTTATTTTTATATTGTATATCACTAAACGATATAATTTCCAGAGCAACTCTTGTCATCCCCCTATAAAAATAGGAGTAATATTAGCAATTCTTCAATCCTCTAGCACTTGTCCATTGTCTACTACAGCAGGGCAATAACTTAATCAATTACCTATCAGCAATGATTACATCGATTAATGTTATGCAAACTAATTGATTAATCAAAATTACTAATTCTGATTATTATTGCTTTGATTATTCCAAGAATCGATTAACCAAAATTCCAGTTCAATCAACTGTCATAAACATAACCAAATAATCAAAATTAGGATTTCTGATCATTACTTTTTTATGTTATTCAACTATCCAACTAATGGAAATATTGCTATTATGTTTGTTATTGAGCACAGAGCTACATAATGGGCTCTCTGTGCTCTGACTAATTTTAGCCTTACAAGTTATTTTACTTTACTTTAAATTGGAGCAGTTTGGTGATTGGGATGGGTGCTCATCATTCCAGGATCTCGAGTTTGATTCCCATTACCACTAAACTTAGTCAACCTGTCTTTGTTATTACAAAGCTACTAGGGCTATCTGTTACTATCACTAATTTTGAACTTCTGCCTAAAGGGAAGGCAACTGTCTGGTAGCTCCCACCTTTTCTTTTTGTCTCCCTCCTTCTTAAACTGATGATTAAAGCAAAGCCAACAGGCTGTCAGCACCCACCACCAACTGTTGTTTTCGCTTTTACATACCATGGTTCGAGGAACACTGTGCTAATTGATTAATCAAATTTAATTAATTAATAGGACATTTAATTAATCAATTAGCAAATACTTGGAGTGCACCTATTAACATTTTCTTGACCAATACCAATAGCCAAAGATTACCTAATCATATCAGCTGATATCAATATTTAGTATTAATGCAGATAATGTATTTTAAATTAATGAAATTAAAATGTAACCTATAGCTGACTTTTTTCTGGTTGCATTTATAGCAAAAATTCACAAATGGTATCTATTTGGTGTATTTAGTTCAGAAAATGAATAAAAATAATAACATAATTAAAATTTAAAAAAATACTTTATGCTAGTGCTTCTAGAAACACTTAACAAAATATAAGACATACACACATATATACTTTTAAATTGTAACTGTAACTTTTATTTGTTTATAGCAGAAACATAATATATGTAAACATAATTCTTAACTTCAACACAAAAAAGTCAGCATAAAACTCAATTTATTTTACGAAATACAGCCTAACAAATTTTCCACTTCATAGATTAGAAAAAAATCCTTTGGCTTCAAATCATAACGTAAATACAGAGGGGATACATTCAATATAATAATGTGATCTCATGCCTTCTGAGCTGTGTCAGGGGCAACCATGCCAGAACAGGTTAGGACACAATAGACTGTACACGGCAAGTCAACTGCATCCAAAATTTAACCAACAGGAACCAACATCCATGCAGGGGTAGAAAAGAGGATTATACCATCTTCATCTCAAGTTCAGCCAACAAGAGGGAGAAATCCCACTACCAATCTATGAACAGGGCACATGTGAGCAGAGTAAAATACATATACATCCCACACAAATTAAACAGACCAGAACCATCTCAAACACAGTAACATCTTTAACATAAAGACATCGAAGGGTAGCCCAAGAGGAAAAAGCAGAGCAACCAACAAGTGCACCCACCATGACACACAACACTAGAGGTGAATTGAGTGAGGGATCAGAGACACCCTGAACACCTGTGCGAGGATTTATGCTGATTAGTTCAGCTCTAAATCCAAAACTCAACCACTGGGAACTAACATCCATATGGAGGTAGGATGAGGGATCCCAATCGCATTACATGTATAAGGACATGATGTTAATTGGTTCAGCTCTAAATCCAAAACTCAACCACTGGGAACCAATATCCATGCAGGAATAGGATGAGGGATCCCAATCAGCACAACATGAGTGTGGACTACAATATGTTGATTGGTTCAGCTTTAAATCCAAAACTCAACCACTGGCAACTGATTTCCCTAGATATAGGTGGAATGCCTAAGGAAGGAATTGTAAGGCAGACATTTCCTGTAGAAAAGTTGATAGGGTAAGCCGAAGCTGGAAAACTAGTTGTGTGATAAAATGGATAGGATTAACAGAAACTGTTGGCCTTACAGACAACAGAGATTCTAAGTACAGAGAATCAAGAGGAAAATCTGCCTGATGTTAAGCTAAGGCAAAATGAACCAAAGCTTGTGTAGGGCAAGGCATGTCAGTACCCTCACCCAAAAGAGAGACAAAAATGCTCATCATGAAACATTATATCTCGAGAAGGAGGGGAAAGTTATACTGTGAAATGTGTTTAAAAAAAGGCTGAGGTAGGCCTAGCAGACTCTGCAGTAGAGGCCTGGGAAGGCATGCCATAATAAGGTGGAGGAAAACTGACACAATCTAGGTTATCCTAAACAGGTTCAGCAGTTGTAGGAGGAAGGTGAGCAATATCAGGAGAATGTAGGGTGGTCCCTGTCCCCCAGGGATCCTCACAAACTAAATTAATTGTAAGTACTATAAATTATAAAGAATTATGAAAATTAAATACTCAACATAATGTAAATTTAAATAAGTGAGTAGTGTAATAAACGTACATATTAGATGTTATGTGTTGAAGAAAAGATATTTACCATAATTACTGATTTACCCATAAGATGAACTACAGATAAACCAAAAATAACACACACTTGTTAAGCATAATCGAACTGTGCAGGACAAAGAATATCACTAAGCTCTAATTTAAAAGTCTTAACCTAACAATAAGTATGTACGATATCGGGAGAAGAAGTTTGTGCGGACCATGGTTCCAGAGGTCCATACAGACAAAGTTAATATGAAGAAGTATAAAAGATAAATAATAACGAAAATGAAATAGAAGTTATATTGTAAATTTAAGTGTGTATTGACAATAACATATGTATGAGATGTTATGTTTTGAAGAGAAACAATATAGTTAACCTAATTTACAATATACCAGTAAGATGAAATACAGGTAATCCTAAAAGAACAGACCTATGTTAAGCCTAATCTAATATTATAGGACAAAGAATACAACTAAGCTCTAATTTCGAAGCTGAACTTGACTATAAGTATTGACCAATCTAACTAAACTTATGTTATTGAACCAAAATAACTACAGATATGAACAGTAAAAATATTCAAAAACCATAAAAGTATATCTTTCCAAAGTCGGCAGACCGTAGTTCAAAATATGTGGGCCCCCAAACTCAAGTCAAGACCCAACGAAGGTCAGTTCATTGGATGATCAATCTCCTGATGAAGTTTGTTTGTAATTTTGCGCAAAGCTACGCGAGGATTATCTGCTCTAGCCATCCCTAATTTAGCAGTGTAAGACTAGAGGGAAGACAGGTAGTCATCATCTTCCACCGTCAACTCTTGGGCTACTCTTTTGCCAATGAATAGTGGGATTGCCAGTCACATTATAACGCACCCACAGCTGAAAGAGCGAGCATGTTTGGTGGGACGGGGATTCGAGCCCGCGACTCTCGGATTGCGACCCGCAGATGGAGAGTCGAGCTCCCTAACCACCTGACCATGCCAGGCCGCCTGATGAAGTAAAGCTGATAATTCCCCAGTTGAGGACTGCCACCTGAAGCCTGTGTAAATGTGCTGATAGAAGATATAACCTTAAAATTCAAACTTCATACTTCAAAATAATTAACCAAACACAACTGTGTTGGAAGAAAGACAAAAAGTAGAAAAAAAATTTGTAACAAAGTATTAAGTTCCAAAACTGGGTAGAAATATAAAATAATTCCACTTCGGAATAAGTTACAAATATCACCATTGTATAATAAATAGTAAACTTGTTGAGAGAAATTGATAAGAAGATACAAAAAAAAACATTTGAAGAGAGCACTGCCAAACTCAAAGTGATAGTTAGGTAGAATAGCACAGAGGGAGTCACGTGTGTGTGTGGCATTACTATTCATGGAGATTTGTCACATGATAATTTGCATGTGAGAATCAGTGCAACCATGTGAATCGAGGGGTGCGTGGAAGTGAAAGGCTTGTAGCATGCGAAAATGTTTTTCAAATAGAGCAGCACTAAAGGAGAATAGCTATGTATGTGAGTGGAAGTAAGGTACCTTATCAGAATTTCATATTTGGATATTGATACATCTATAAACTGTATATACAGCATGTTCATAAATATGTATATTAAGCTCTTCCTTTTAATCGATATTCACTATGGTTATACACACCAGCATTACAGTACACTACCTCATCTTCAGTAGATGCTCTGAGACTTAATATTTTGTTCTTCTTTACGCTCTCTTCTGTCTTCTTTCCTGGATATGCATTCACATATACATCATTCACATCTATCTCTGAATGTAATGTTGAAGCCAGCTGAAACCTATTCAAAACAGGAAAACATTAAATAAAATTACGCATTTTTTTGTATTAAAGCACAAACACTCTGTTAAAGGTTCTAATGATAAAAAAAATAAAGGTTACTGAAAAAACCTTGCAACTTTCCACAAGTTAGCTCTCTCCTTTAAACTTTGTTTCGAAGCAGAAAAAGGACATTATGCAACAGAACATTACATAAAAAAAACATCTTGGAAAATATGACTTCATTTTAACCACTGCACCATTTTTTAGTTTTAACTCTTTTTGATGCTTTTGATGAATCTGAGAGAAATATTCCAACTGATCAAAGCATGATAATTTTAAGACATAATTCTCAGTATTTCTGAAAATGAATAATAATAAATAAATGGCTTCAAAAAATATAAAACTGTAATGAAATAGATGTTTAAATATAAATAATAACACAAAAATCAGGGAAAATCTTAGTATGTTACTTTTACATCTAAATCAGTAGGTTAAAATTGATATTTAAGATACACAATTGTTAAGAAGACAATCTGTGGAGATCATATACCATAAACTAAGTAAATAACAAGTTCAAAATAATAAATGAGTATGACTAAACTAATAAACACCATAAGCAAATAAAAAGATGAATTACAAGAAAACATATAATTATCTTTGAAAGACTATGCAAAGCAATTTAATTTATTTGCATTCTGAAATATACAATGGAAAAGATAAATTAACAGTAAAGTTTAAAATGCATATTTATACTGATCATGTGTGAACTATATTTTAAAAGTCTATTTACAGTTTTGTTTCTATTAAAAGTTTGTTACCCACATGAAGTTAATTAGAACAGGTTACAAATATAATTCTACAAATATAGGCCCAAGATTCTGAAAGCTTATGTAAATAGTTTTTACTTGACTTGTATTAATAACTCTCTTTTTAACATCAAAAAGGCTTTCCTGGTCAGTTTGTACTTTTTTTGTTTTATAAACTTGTATTTTAAGTCAGTATTCAAGATTTTATGTAGAGGGTTTTCATAAAGTCCTTGGCAATTTTAAACACTAATAATTTTTGATGTACACATGATAAGAACATACTGTAAATGGTACAGAAAAATATAATTCATGAAGTTTTACTACTAATGAATATGGAAACATCAGAAGAAAATATTAGCTTTGTGATATGGTTAACTGAACTGAAGTCAATAACAGCAGTGAGGAGAAAATTTAGAACTCCTTACAGTAAATATGCACCACACCATAGCTTGATTAACAATTGGAAGAAAAACAAAAGTGTAAAGAAATGGGGTCAGTGAACAACAACCCACGATCTAGAAGGCCACCAATCAGTGCTAGGGTAGTAGCAGTCGTCCACGAAGTATCTGAATAATATCTTGCTACGTTACTAAATTTGTTCATCCCTGAACTACACCAATTGAATCTTTTAGATAGTATCTGCTTCCAAGAACAGAGTGCTCCCTGCCACTTTGCTTTCGGTGTGCACAAGTTTTTGAATGATATCTTCACAAAGAGGTGGATCAGCAGACATGGACCAATTTCTTGGCCTCCCCGGTCCCTTGACATGTCCATTAAAACTACTGGAACTTATAGCAAAGAATCACAAATGCAATTCATGACATTACTCAGTAGCAGCTGGAGAATGCTTTTAGAGAGTTATAAAATCAGCTTGAAAAAATGTAATGCTGCAGATGGCAGTTATGTTGATATTTAGTAAATTAAATTGTCTTGTAATATAACTTCATTAATTATGAACACCCTGTATAAATTGTCCCACCTACTGGTAAGTCTGTTTTCTTAATAAAAACAAGTAATTTTATTAGTGCACTACTTACATATTTTTCAATTACATAAGTAAACATTCATATAAATTTTACTTCTCATAACTTTAAGAAATATGAAGACCTGTAGATGTCAAGAAAATTATTAAACACTGTCACATCTTCTAACAGCCATCTCAGAATAATGCATGTTTTGTGTTTAATATTTTATATGCCAACAAATACTAATTCTTTTTATCACCTATCTCCTTTTTTTAGCAAATGGATCAATCTTTTTACAACATTTAAAATAGAATTATTACTCATTAATTAAAACTTCTTTTACACAATATTTCTCCCTTATGTTTCATGACTTCTGTCTTTACTTACTCATATGGCTATATTTTTTAAACACATTGAACTATTACAGCTAATATTCCAATTGCTGCATAATCTATGAAATCAATATGCTACAATGGTAAGTCAATTACAAATATCAGTCAAACTTTTATTCACATTTGAAAAACATAATAGTTCTAGGTAAAACTTACTGTTTATCTACTGTTCCTGATTGTTCTTTTCTATATTCAATCATTTTATTTTTTTTTGTTTTTAGTAACTCTGTACCACAACAAGAGGAGGTACTTGGCTTTGTATCCACAATGAAAGATGATGTATGATCACAGACTTCTTCATCACTTGTTTCTTCACTTGAAGAATCTAAAACAAATTGTAGCCACTAAGAAGTTAATTCATAACAAAAGATGGTTAGAATGAGTCTATAGCTAAGACATATTGATTTATTTTTACCTTAAAAATATAAAGACGTATTTTGCCAAATAAATTAAAAATTTCATATATAACTTTTTTAATTTAACACAAACTAAAAATGATTATATTAGAAACTATTCTTCATTACTAACAATCTACTTACAACCACTAGTGTGTTCGGTTATTCTATTATTTTTTAATTAATATTAATTAGTGAAAAATACTGCTTACACATAAAAATTTAACAACCTATAGAGCAGAAAACCCAATTATTCCACTTTATTTCTTGTAAACTTATTATCATTATAACATCAGAAAAATACGATCTAAAAATTTACAAATATGAATTAATTAGAAATATTTTAGTCTTACATGTTTTACTATGGAAAATGCATATAAAAAGTAAGCACCCATTACAGTTTAAGCTCAAACAAAGAAAAATAAATATACAACAACTTATTATACATTTGACAAGATAAGAACATTTAGCATAATAAAATAAAATATAATACAAATGAATTATTTATTGATAATCAGATCATTCTTCAAATAGCTATCTATAGACCTGGATGATTAATGGAATTTGCTAACTGATTAATTGTTGCACTCATTAATCAATTACATTCAACTAACTAATTATTTTCACAAAATGGCCTTAAAAAGCTAATCTATTATTCTCAAGAGATGGCTATAGTCTGAGTTTTGATACCTGCAGTGGGTCGAGCACAGACAGCCCATTGTGTAGCTTTATGCTTAGTAACAAACATATAATGGCAATATTTCAGTTTAGATATTTGGAATAATCTGAAACTACTATTTTGAAGTAACAGTATTCTATGTAAATAATGCTTATACATAATCAATTCATCGAGTTAAGTTGCCCCGCTCTATTTGTTATTAGATATAATATTAAATGCACATGTAAACAAGTTAGTTAATTAGATAGATAGATACATAAAATTTATATATTTTTTCCATGATCTTATACTCCAAGAAAATGGTTAGACCCATTCAAAATCAAATGTGGCTTAAACACAAAATAAACTAATATTTATTTCGCATTACAAAAACAATTTAAATTTTCAATAACATAGTATTGCTTACAATTAATTTCAATTTTCATTAAGCAAAATCATCAAAGTCAGAATTTGTCAACACTGTTTGACTCTTGCATCTAAAAAACCATGGGGACTGGGTTTTTCTTTCAGACAAGTGATCAACACACATGTATTTCATAATATGTTGCAGTTTATTTTCTACAAGCACACAACCTGTACAAATGTAAATCTTCTGATAAGCAATATATATATATGTTTATGTACATGACATTTTCACACAATATCTTGCAAGATAAATCTGGTCCTTCTGATACACAGTATGTCTATCCAGGTACTCCACTCAGTAACCAATTTGCCTAATATACTTATAAAACTGGGTATACTGAACAGATTCAATCTTGATATTAATATCTTTCCAATGCTGCTCATCTGTCCTAGATAGAGCCAGTGCCACAGTATTCCAGCCAATAAACTCAAGGTTTCCTATTTCCATGTAAGAAAAGCCTAGCTTCTTTAATGATTACAAAGCTTTATCTTGCCTTACAGTTCCATTATATCAAGTTTACCCCTCTTTCCACAATCTACATTGCTTAATAGAACAAAAGCCTTTAAATGCCCCATTCCTCCTTTAAAACTTGTATGCTCTTTTCCATTCATCATTCCATAATTTCCTTCAAAAAGTCTAAATGTAGACAATATAACTGCATGCTATCTCATCCCCTCTGCCAATCAATTAAATTACTTAATTTGCAAAAGTTCTATCTTTTCATGACAAAACCAACCTGTAATATCGGTCCCATACAGAACAATTGGCACCACAATACTATCAAACAATTTTTATCTCACTTGGAAATTTATAAGAAACTGTGTTTTGTCAATCCCTCAAATATAATTCATCATAGAACTGGTCTTTCTTGTAACATACTCAGTATGGATCTTCCAACTACCACCTTATTGAAAGTAAAAGCCAGTGTACTTGAAACATTTTACAACTTTAATTTTCTCAACTTTCTGAGTTTCCAATACCAAAATTCATTTTTAGCACACTTACTACTCTGCTTAAAAACCATTATTTCTGATTTAGCTACATTGAACTTTAAGGCTTTTCAAATAAAATATTTTTCAAGACAGTGCATCATACTTGTAAGCCCTCTAGATTGGGTGCAAGAACCCTCAAATCATCTGCATAGGCAAGGAAATAAATCTTAGCATCCTTCAAAACAGCTTCCCATTTTGATTATTCTTCAATGACTGCTCTACATCAGATACACATATTAAATAGAAGAGGATTAGGTGGACAGCACTGTTGAATGCCTCTTAAAGTCCAAAAAGCTCTTGACGTCTGCTCCTTCACTTTAATGATATACATGGTTTCACTGTAAATTTCTTGAATAACCAACAAGAGCCTTCTTCCCCTCTTAACCTGTAAAACATCCATGGTAATTCTCTTTTCTTAAGAGTCAAACATAGCTTTTAAATAAATAAAGAATGTGTACACCTATTCATTTTTACATATTTCTGAATTAGTGTTTTAAAGATATAAAAGATTCATTGTACCCTTCCTGCCTTGTATAAAACCAGATTTTCCCTCTGGCAGTATATAATATTCTCTTCAATCCACATGCATAGTCTAATGTCCACCACCATCACAAAAACCTTATAACTTAGTAGTCAAAAGTGAGATTCCTCCATATTTCACAACTCTGTTGGAATCTCCCACTTTGGACATATCACCACTGACCGCTGTACAAAATAGATAATTAATGAATATTCATAAGGAAACAAGGTATGGTCATGTCTAACATTACATTAACACTTACATCAGTTCCACTTGTTTTGACATAGGAGCATAACATAATGAAATGCTACTACTATTGCATTTGTTCTATCCTACCTCATGCCAGGGCCTAAAACAACATTTAAAATTCATCATTTTCCATTTTCAATGACTTTATGCAAGAGTAGGCAGCACATGCTTTCAGTTTCTGCATATAATGAAAATAATTATTGAATATTTATTATTTCTTTAAATAGAAAATATTTATTTCACAATTTTTAACATACTGAGATATTACACTAACTTTTTTTTCTCTGCTACCTATTACGTTTCACATACTATTCCATTCATCAAGCTGCTCATATCTATTTTAGCTTATCTATTATATTATTAATAAGTAATACTGTATATATTTCATAAAATCATAACAGTTTATCTGCTAAACTAAATGATATGCAAGTTTCTCACAATATCACTCCTAAGCTGTCATGTCAGAGTGGCTGAGTTATCTATCCTATATAAAACCCAGTGTGTGTGTGTCACATCACATCATACTTGATTTCTCGAAATAGGAGGAGTCATAAAAGCCAAGATGCATTTATCCAGATAGAATAGTTCGAATACTGTTTCCCACTATTGTTGATGATGGGGGTGAAAGGGAGCCATAATGGGGGGGTGATGGTGGGGGTGCCATAAAAACCTATGTGTAGTGAGTGTTAGTATAATAAGCCTAAAGTATGCTATGAAAGTAAAAATATCAATTAAATTTTAAACTTAAATCATTTCTGAATTAAGCTATTTTCTGTTTTATCACACCAACGTTTTTAATAAAAAACAAACCTCTCTAATCAACAGAGACTCTAAGTTAAGAAATCAACAAATATTCTTCCACTTTTTCTGTCTATACATTTCATTTTATACTTTCAGTACATAAACTAACAACAATATTAGGTTATACTTTTGTTGCTAAGTAACATGACATAAAAGCCATTATTGGAATGTAGTGTTACCAAAACACACTGGCTTTTCTGTATATTATAAGATGTTCATCTAACTGATTTTTACTAATAATTATTCTATGAATATGCCACAAATTAATTTCATGAATTATCTTAATTTTGAGTGGCTCACAAAGGAATTTACTGATGTTTGACTGCACTTTTCTGCCTCTTTGTTGGTCAAGCTTGATTTTCCAAAATTTATTTATTTCAGTTGGCTGTGAAATGTGAGCATAGGGTATACTATGGGGTGGGAGTGCTAGTACTTGTCCATCCATTTTTGATGAGCTGTACCACTAGTTATAAATAGAATCCAATCAAATTTAATCATTAATTGTTACTTGTGGTGTACTTCAGGGTCAGTGCTTGGGTTTTTACTTATCTAGATTAATGACATTAATAAGAGCTGATGGCTATGGGAAATTTCTTGTTGTATTGGAAATGTTAAGGTACTACAGAATGACCTGGATCAATTGTTAAATTAGATAAATAACTGGCGAATGACCTTAAATTACTGAAAATATAAGTTAATATACCTGGGTTATCATAATTTTGATAATATTTTTATACAGACAGAAACCAACTCAACTGATAGTAAATTGACAAACAATTTATAAGAAGGATGCAGTAGTTTTATTTTGGGGAACATATCACATTTCAACAGAACTATAGTCTGTTTTCTTCAGACCAACATTCTGTCAAAACAAGTAATATGTTCCCTAACATGAAACCATTTCGTTAGGCTTATAAATCATTGTTTGTCCATTTACTATTAAATGAGCAAAATGTGCTCCCTTTAACAAAAAAAAAACACTCAATTATTAACAGCATAACTAAGTAATGAACTTTGCCATGATATTAATAGCAAATAAAACATTCAAGCCATTGGGGCAATGGGTTTTTGCTATTAGTAAAATTACTTTACGATATTGATATACACATTTATTAAAAATCAGAGATGTTAATAAACTCTTTGTGTGTAAAGTTTTAGTCTCTTTATCTATGAAAGAGTATTAACTTAGTGGAAAGAATTCAAAAACCGAAAAGGGTTACTAGAAACAGAATGATTCAAGGAAAGGAGTAGTTATCTGGAAATAGATTAAGATCTCATAGTCATAATCTATTTCCTCTAGAGAGAAAAAAGGCAAGACCCTAAAGAAGGTTATCTTATTCAAATTTACAATTATTCCAAGAGATAGATAGGATAAAAGCCTCTGATTTCTATACGCTGGTTCTAGACTAAAGTCAACAGGAGGACAATATAAAAGTTTAAATTTATAAAATACAGAAAAATCTCCAGTTAAACAGTACGAGTTGTAGGGTTAAGCCTTATCATGCAAGGTCTACTGTTAGTCTTAATCATATTTAAAATATCATTTTCCTTAATATAACAAATACCTAAAATACTCATAATGGCATACATAACAATTGTTTTCCTTTACCCGAATTTTGAATTTGTCTGTCTAACACGTTTGTCAAATGCTTTAAATATTGTGATTCCAGACTTATGCTTGAACTGGCAAGCGCCATATTAAAAATGTTACTGCCCTCTATAGGATGTATTTATCCTGAAAAACAAGAAAACAAAGCTTTTGGGGAAAATTACGTAGCATTTGTTGAGGTTAGTTCTTTACAAACTAATTTATGTTAATATTTTTTAGTTTTTATGTCTTTTACATTTCGTTATTTGTTCGATAAGCAATGGGCTACCTGTGCTCTGCTCACCGTGCTTATGGAAATTAATTTTAAGCATTATAAGTGCTCAAACTAATCGTTGAGCTGCTGGGAGGCTACATATTATCATAATAGAATTATTATTCCATTTTTTTTTATAAATTACTATCAACCTCGTGAATAATGGGAAGGTGACAAAGGATTGGAAGTTAACTAATGTCACTACACTTTTCAAGAGAGCTAATAAAAATTGTTCCAGTAATTATAGGCCCATTAGTCTTACGTCAGTTGTGGGAAAAGTTTTGGAAAGTCTTCAAATTCGAATAGTCAACATGGTTTCACTAAGGAAAAATCTTGCCTTACAAATCTTTTGACATTCTTTGAAAAGGATACTGTTTATGTATATAAGGGAAAGAGTATAGATTTGGTGTATCTGGATTTTCAGAAAGCATTTAACAAGGTGCCACATAAAAGGTTTGTAAAAAAATTATATCTAATGCATATGGGTTATCATAATTTGAATTATAAATATAATTTAGATAGGAGTAACCTTAGCAGTGTCATGAAAGAAAGGGGTCTTAGTATAACGGTTGATCAGTCTCTTAAGCCATAAAAGGCTTGTAAAAAAA